CTATTGAACACTTACTATTTGCCAGACACTTTTCTTTAGCTTTTTGGGTTTTTTTTTTAGGATTTTATTTATTTATTTGAGAGAGAAAGAGAGAGAGAGCAGGGGACGGAGCGGAGGGAGAGAGACAAGGAGACTTCACACTGAGCATGGAGCCTGATGCGGGGCTCGATGAGCCTGAGATCATGACCTGAGCCGAAATCAAGAGTTGAAGGCTTAACTGACTGAGCCACCTGGGTCTCCCTAGACACTTTTTATAAGTGTCTTATAAAATCTTTTTAATAGAGTTATTGCTATCTTTTATTTTAAAATAAAGAAACTGAGGCTCAGTGAGGGTAAACAATTTTAACAAGACTACAAAGTCAGTAAGTGTGAAGGCTGGTAAGTGTGAAGTGTTTTGAGCTCAGCTTTGCTTGGCAGTTGAGCCCACATTTCTTACCATTATTCTAAGAGTCTAATTAGAGTCAGTTCCCAAGTGAAGATGGAACTAATGGTGAGTGTGTTAGGAAGAATGGATACTATGACATGCTCTAGACAAAAGATCGATAATACATCCTCTATCCCCAATGTTTATCTTTGTGTATCATTGTACTTTAGAGCACTTGATAATTATTGTATACAAGTTAAAGGATAAATTACCTTTATAATGAATGAAAGAATTTTACTTTTTAGACCAAATGATATTGGAAAATGTTTTTGATCTCTCTTCTAAGAACACAAAGGGATTAGAGTTCAACCACTGACACAGTGATTGAAGGAGGATTTGTAAGGCTCTACTCTATTTGTAGGGATAGACTATTCCAGGCAAGTGCAATTTCAAACACATGTGGTATACAAACAATGCATGCTACTGTTGACCTTTCAGCTCTTTTTTCTATTCCCCTAAGAACTCATCCCTTTAATCCACAATTCTCAGTGCCCCAGGAATAATGGCTTAGAGTTCCCAATCCAGTACCAGACATGAATAGTTTCATAGGTTCCTTGACCCTTCATCCATTTTGGACCTTTCATCCATTGAATGGACTCTTTGCTCCATTAGGATTCAACTTTTCTAGGTGATTAGTGTTAGCAGGTTCATTCCTAAGAATTGTGGGACCTGGGATGAGAGTATAAATGAAGATCTACATATTTTGTGTCATTATTCTTTATTATAAATAAAATAATTATTATTAAAATATGATCTATCCCCCCACTTTGACAGAAGTATCTTTATAATAACTTGGATGGCTGGGTGAAATGTTAGAATTTTTGAACTCCTCTGTAGTGTGGTGACATGGAGAGGGATGGATTCCAGCCTTCAGCCCCTCCTTTAACCAGTTCTGTCCAGTATCATAGGAAGCTTTGAGCAGAGTGACACTTAGGCTGTACATCGAGCATCCATACACTCTCCACTCAAACATCTGCACCTGGACCACCCATCCTTGCTAGGTGTATGCATGTTGGTTGCATAGTCTGCTGACTGGGGGACAGAACTGGAAAGATGATATCACAGGCTCTAGATGAGGGATTGGGGCAATTTGGGAATGAAATTCTGGGATCACAGGGATCTGGAGCATTGGTCTTCTCTGGAGAAAAGGAATGCAGGTTCCAGATGGGTACTTTTCTTGACTCTGTAGACTTTGCCTATGGGTGAAGATATGGCCAGAGAAAAGCCAGAGTGCTCAGCAAATATTTATTGGTTTTTCACTATGTGCCTGTATTGTTGTAGGTACATGAGACATGAATGAACAAATTAAAGTGCTTGCCCTTGCAGAGCTTATATTCTGAGAAAGGGAGAAACAGACTACAAATACTAAATGTAATAAATATATATACTATATAGTAAATTTAAAGGTGAGAAGTACTATAGAGACAATAAAAGTTAGAGCAGGAAAAGGTGGGAGGACTGTTAGTCATCATTGGCTTCAACTGAGGTTTGAGAGATTTGAGAAAAAACTTGAAGGCAGTGAGGAAATTAGCCAAAAAGAGAACAAGAGGGAAAGAACCTCAGGCCTTTGGGCGCCTGGGTGGCTCAGTCGTTAAGCGTCTGCCTTCGGCTCAGGTCATGATCCCAGGGTCCTGGGATCGAGTCCCACATCGGGCTCCCTGCTCGGCAGGAAGCCTGCTTCTCTCCCTCTCCCACTCCCCCTGCTTGTGTTCCTGCTCTTGCTATGTCTCTCTCTGTCAAAAAAATGAATAAAATCTTTAAAAAAAAAAAAAAAAGAAAGAAACTCAGGCCTTTAAGAGTATAGTGAACACCTTGAGGTAGGACCACACTTGGAATGTTAGAAGAACAAGGAAACCAGCAAAACTGGAATAGAGTGAGAAAAGTAGACGGTTAAAAAAAGAAGTTACAAAAAGAACTGATGACCAAACCATATAGTATTGTACTGTGCAACAGAAATATAGTGATAGCCATAAAAATATTATTTTAAATTTCCATGTAGCCATAATAAAAATGTAAAAAGAAAGGTTAAAAATTAACCTTAATAATGCATTTTATATAACTCAATTTATCTAAAATGTTATCATTTCAACATGGAATCTTTGAAATCGAGAGTGTATTTTATCTCAATTCATACCACCTACATTTCAATTGTTCAGTAGCTACATCTAGCTAGTTGTTGCTGCATTGGGCAGAACAGATAGATTTTGACTCATCAGTGAAAGAATTTTGTCTATCACTTTGAGTGACTAGGGAGATGTTTCAGGATTTTAAGAATTGAAGTGTCATGATTTGATTTATGTTTAAAAACAATCAGGTCTGGGGCCCTGGGTGGCTCAGTCGGTTAAGCATCCGACTCTTAATCTCAGCTCAGGTCTTCATCTCAGGGTCATCCATTCAGTTGGGCTCCATGCTGGGCATGAAGCCTACTTAAAAAAAAAAAAAAAAAGAAAAAAGATCAGGTTCTGCCTTAACTGAGAATACATGATAAGGGATCAAAAGAAATAGAAACAGGAAGACCTATTGCAGTAATTTTGATAAAGGAATGATGATGGCTCAGATGATAGCAGTGGTTGACATAAGAGGTGGTTCAATTCCTGATCATTATTATTATTATTTTTTAAAGATTTTATTTATTTATTTGTGTGAGAGAGAATGAGAGAGAGCACATGAGAGGGGGGAGGGTCAGAGGGAGAAGCAGACTCCCTGCCGAGCAGGGAGCCCGATGCAGGACTCGATCCCGGGACTCCAGGATCATGACCTGAGCCGAAGGCAGTCGCTTAACCAACTGAGCCACCCAGACACCCAATTCCTATTCACTTTAAAGGTAGAACAAATAGGACAGATTACATTTGGTGTGTGATGAGAGGGGAGTCAAGAATGACCCCAAAACTTTGGCCTAAATAATAGGAAGGATGGCTTGACCTCAACTGAGATGAGAAAGGCTGTTAAAAGGTTGGGACAAGGAAGATGTGTGTTCAGATTTGGATAGGTATATCTGAAAAGTCTATTAGGCATTCAGGTGAAGATGTGGGGTAGGCAGTTAGATAGGAGTCTAGAGTCTAGGGGACAGGTTGGAGGTAAAAGTTCGGAGATCAGCAACCTTGAAACTGGATAAGGTCACCAAGGAAATGAGAGTGGATAGAAAAGAGAGTACCAAGGACTGAGCACTGGGACATCAAAATTAATAGGTCTATACTGACATGAAATTGACATTAAAGTAACATCAAATATTTTACCACTTCTGTATTTTATATATATATATACATATATATACACATATATAAATTTTTTATATTTAATTTTTAAAACCTTAATACATATACTCATAGCTGTCACAATCTTGCCTATTTTACTGAAAAACTGTAACTTTAGATGAAACCTAAGGGCTTTTTTTGTGACCTTTTTTGCTTTAAAATGTACTACAAACTTACAAGTAATTAACTTATACTATATTAAACAATAGACAGTCAAAATAAAATTGTGGTTGTAGGGGCGCCTGGGACAGAGCTCTGCATCATTGGGCTCCCTGCTCAGCGGGGAGTCTGCTTCTCCCACCTCCTCCCCCTCCCCCACTCATGCTCTCGCTCTTTCTCTCTCTGCTCTTAAATAAACAAAATCTTATAAGAAATTGTGGTTGTAATTAAATTAGAGATCATTATCAGTCTTTAATACATATTGTTTATATTTGTGTTTCCCAGAGACATACAAGTTAACTGTCTTTGATATGATAGCATTAAACATCAATATAGCAGTTTAAAATATGTCCCATAGGGCGCCTGGGTGGCTCAGTTGGTTAAGCGTCTGCCTTGGGGTCAGGTCATGATCCTGGAGTCCCGGGATCGAGTCCCGCATCGGGCTCCCTGCTCGGCGGGGGGTCTGCTTCTCCCTCTGACTCTCTTCCCTCTCGTGTGCTCTCTCTCTCATTCTCTCTCTCAAATAAATAAATAAAATCTTTAAAAAATAAATAAATAAATAAATAAATAAATAAATAAAATATGTCCCATAGTCTACAGACTAATGCAGCTTTGTTTTATTTGCGATAAGCTTATGAATTCGTTTTATAAAAATTCTGGTTGACGGCTAGGTGTTCTTACCTCATTTTCATCTGTCAAAGAATGACATGTTTATTCCTTTAATTATATTCAAATCCCAGCTATGAAGAATGTTTCATAAAACAAAATCCATTATTTTACTATAAGTACATTCATGACTTTTTTTTTTTTTTAAGATTTTATTTATTTATTTGAGAGAGAGAATGAGATAGAGAGAGCATGAGAGGGGGGAGGGTCGGAGGGAGAAGCAGACTCCCCGCCGAGCAGGGAGCCCGATGCGGGACTCGATCCCGGGACTCCAGGATCATGACCTGAGCCGAAGGCAGTCGCTCAACCGACTGAGCCACCCAGGCGCCCCATTCATGACTTTTTTAAAGAGTACAGTTCATACTTAAAATGAGATTCTAACCTTTTGTGTTCTTATATTACCAAGGTAATTATTTACAATATAATGTGGAAATTAGTGTACTGACAAATAATTTCTAATTTTTTTTTAACAAAGGCCATTGTTTGTTTCTTTTCAGTCTGTTCGAGAAGTCACAGGTTACGTGTTAGTAGCTCTTAATCAGTTTCGCTACCTGCCTCTGGAGAATTTACGCATTATCCGTGGGACAAAACTTTATGAGGATCGATATGCCTTGGCAGTATTTTTAAACTACAGAAAAGATGGGAACTTCGGACTTCAGGAACTTGGACTGAAGAACTTGACAGGTAAGGAAAATATACAAAATTGCAAATATGCTCTCATTATCAATTTAATGCAATAAACATACACATATGTGTGTAAGGTTACTGTAGTATGTGTTATACTGAGGAACACTATAAAACATTTAAATATCTAGTCTTTATTCATTTTACGGGAAATAATGCCTTGTGATGCCCTTGCTTTTATTTACAGATATTGTAAGTGCGGTCTGAAAAATACCGTAATACTGTATCTCAGCTGAACAGAAGTGCACTCTAAGGAAATGCTCAGTGGCTGAAAACTGAGATAGGAAGCAGGTTTAAGAATGCTATGTTTGGTGGTCTCAGGTGAACAGTGGACCATATCATCAAATCTCTGCAATAAATAACACCACAACCTTCACCCTTGTTAGAGCTCAGTAAATACACAAGCCTTTATATCTAGTTCCACTAATCTAGTTTTTTGCACAGCCCCTTATTTTTGGAAAACGTACCTTGATTTACTAATTTAGTTTTGATTTATTTTATTCAGTAACTCACTCAATGCCATCAGAAATTCTTTCTCAGAATGTTTCAATACCATCAGTGATTTTTCCCCTAAGATTCGAAAAAGGAATTGCTAACAACCTAAACTTATTATCTTGCTGGAAAAAAACAAAAAAACACAACACTTTGTAGGAATTTGTTTTGTAAGCTGGTCCTGGCATTCCTGCAGATATCCTTTCAGTCCATATAGTTCATAGCTCATACAGGCTATCGTAGGAGGTTTGGTACAAGGTTTCTAATCATGAGTTTTGCTATGTGTGCCTGTAGTCAAGTACTGCTAATTAGTAATTAATTATCATCTCACAGTGGGATAAAGGAGTTTAAACTATTAATTTAACCTACATTACTATGATTTATATTTTGCATCAAAATACATAGTGATTCTTTGTGTGTTTGAGTCCACTCAGTGGTAATGTTTCTTGACATTAAAAAATTACAATTTTTAGAGGTATTGCCTCAAAATACTAAGTAAAAATAACATTGATATTGTCAGGTTACTAAAATTTTTGTTTCTTTAATTCATAGTGGATATAAAATATCTTAAGTTAGAAATAGCTTCATAGTTAGCCAGACATGTAAGCTAAAATTAGATATTTTGGACGAAGAAAGGAATACTGATTATGTTATTTATTTTGGACATGATTGCTATAGAACTGATGGCATAATGGCAAATGCAAATTATTCAGAATTTATAGATTCCTTCATTAACATTTTACTTTTTTTGTTCTTTCCTTTCAAAGATAGTTTCCTTATTGAAGAGTAGGGTTTTTGACTAAATTGCTACTTGCATGGAAGTAATGATAGGAAGAAGAATTTTAGAACTGGAATGGATAGAGAGAAATTGAATGATTGAAGTTAAGAGTCTAAAAATAATATAATCCAGTTAAAACTTGCATAGGGATAATTATGTCTTATTAAATGATTTTCCTCTATTTATAATAAAGAAAAAATGAATACATTTCTTTTTAAACTTTTTATAATACTTGTTATTATTCCATAATATGTGCTATTTGAACAACCTTTTCATCCAGAAAATCAATCTTTAAAGAGCTATCTTATTTATTTTTACATTTAACATTAGTACTACTCAAATATTTTTTAAGTTATTTAATCAAAATTATGCCACATTTAAACATACCTTATTTATTGAGTGAGCTCACACCATGATTGCTTATGATTGTGACAGTTTGTGTCATACCAAAATACAACACTGTTATTTCAAGAACATTATTCCATATTCTGCCAGAAGGTCTTATAATATTTGTGTGTGTGTAAAGTAAGTAGAAGTGAGTAACTAATAAGTGGCTAAGAGAATGAGTTGATTGTTCAGAACAAAAAATGTGTTTGTTCAAGAGTTATTAGTTTCTTTCTGAATATAAAGAAAAGTAAAATAAATGATGGAAAATTTAGACAACTTGGAAATTGTCCAGATATCTTAATATATTTATTAGGTGGCTGAGAATTACATGTGAACATCAGTCCAGCATCATTGATCTTACTCTAGATAATTGAAATCAGTAGTGTAACTCCAGTTTTGAAAATCGAAAGTCACACAATAAGCATGATTCTGTTTGTGTGTAAGAATATATGAGGAAGGGTAGGAGACACCTCACTGTTCATATAAAGAGGAATTGGGGAAGAAATTTGCTCTATAGTTGTATCTTAAAGAATTGAGTGTTCTAGGTAACCTAGTAAAGTAACCAACAAACATTGCAATTCACTTCAGATAAGATTGTTTTTGTGTTTTGGAAAGATAATTTTTCTATCTTGCTTGTTTATGTGTTATACAAAGCAAGTTGATAAAAATTTAAAACAGTTTTAGGGTTATATTAAGTGTAGGGCTCCAGGGTTGGCCCTAATTTTAGGGCTGTCTTACAAAATATGAAGGGAAATAGAATACCTGCTGGAGTAGCCAAATACCTCACTACTTAACTGTCCTAGGGAATTAAAATTTTAACTTGGTTCTTGAAAATAAAAATAAAATAAAATAAAATAAAAATTTAACCCCATTCTTAAAGAACCAACTGCATCAGCATCACCTGGGTATTGTTAGAAATGCAAATTTGGGGGATATTTATGCAGATAAAGTATCTGAGACCTAATGGACCAGAAACTCTTGTGGTAGGGCCCATCAATATGTATTTTAAGGATCCCCCCATGATTCTGATGGCCACAAAAATTTAAGAAACACTGTCTGTTTTTAATTAAAGATATGTTACCAAGAGCCAATAGCATGATATCTAGTTAACCTCTTCACTTACTTGATCTAAATAATTTTCATTCATTTATCATCTCCTAGAGAGAAGGGAAGGAATGGGACAGAGAACAGGTGAATTTGTGACTGGATGATGAGAAATACTCCTTAGGTTGAGGTGAGAATGAAAAGAGCATACTAGGAGCCTGGCTGAAAACGTGTGGGTATTAAAGAGCTTGGAGGTTAGCAAGATGCTGGGAGTAAACTTTCTTCTGTATTGCCATTTGGTCTGGTACCAACTTTGCATAATGGTAAACCATAACAGGGACAATAATAATCATGGTCAATTTTCCTTCTAAGCAAAATTTTATTTTTAAACACGTTCAATAAGGTAAATAACAAGTACTACTTGTCAGGTAGGAAGTATGCAGGTTGTAACAAATAATTTTGAGATTATGAATTCATATATCTATTTAATATATATGTAAAATTTTGTTTTTCCTGAAATCTTTTTTGCAGTGTTGACCCTAGAATAATATGCCTTTTTTTTTTTGTTTTAATTACATTTGTTGCCTGTAAACTCTATCTTTGTGAAAAGGAATGTTCGATTAACATGATTAACTTGAGACTGTCAGATATAAGGATTAATGGTTGGATGCCACTTAACAAAGATATAAATTAACTTCGACCTTACACATTCTTATTAATTAGCTTGATGGTCACCAAAAGCTATTGCTTGGACTATAGTTATTACTATAGATCTTACTTAGAGACTTTCATTTTGGTTGTGCCCAAAAACAAGAAACACAAACATATTTTCTGTCACATTTCCCTGGTTCATTGTCAGTGAGGTGGACAGAGTGGAGAAGAGGCAGGTCCCCAGGCTAGAGATATGCCGCACAATCTAAAGGGGAGTAAGGAACTTGTCTTGGCAATCCCTAGGTGCTGTGGTAGGCTGGGTAATCCTTTTCTGGTCAGGGGAGAGACCATATTTCCATCAATGTGTCCATCAGGCATGTAACCTTCTTGAGGCCATTGAGAATGACATTACTGAACCAGAGGACTACGGAGCTGGAGAGAATTCATTACTTCCTTTGTTAAGGTCACTTGCACGTGGCTGTGGCTTTATTAATCACTCCCATGATGTTAGTTTATTTTTATAAGATCCTTCTTAACCAAATATCCCTATTCTAAATTCAAATCAACATCTAATATATTTACAACTTTAATTCTACAAGCTTCTACTTATTTAATTACCTGCCTGACCAAAATCTAAATGTCATTATATGGGGCAAAAAAAACCCAAAACCCAAAAAACCAAACAACAACAACAACAACAAAAACTATTATTTTCTCCTTTCTGGAATTTATAGAACTACCTCATCTGAGTAATATTATACAATCTCATCTATATGTGATATTGTAGATATGAAGGAATCTTTGGGAAATACCTAGATTCGTATCTATTCTACTATTCATATTCTATTTATAATGATGATAACCTGAATACAAATTTACTACATAAATATGTATATTTTTCTTATCAAATTTCACCTTAAATATTTGGATTTTAATTTTATGAATTATTAGAATATCTCTTTTGAATAGGTAAAATTTGAGGTGATACCAATATACAATTTATGTTTTCCAAATATTAGCCAAATACTCTCCATATTTTCAGACCAACACATTCTTGCATTAGTACCTTTATTTAATGTTTTATGACTATTCTAATTATTTGGTTAACTGTGTACTGTATCATCTTGATTAGATTATTATTTGATATGTGGACAAGCAAACATTTTAAACAGAAGTAAAATGCTGAAGTTATTTTTGGGAGCCCTCAGTAATAATGGAAGGATATATTAAGTTTACTGAGTTCTAGTAGACTAAAAATAAAATGAAATGCTTAGTTCAGGAGATAGAACATCTGATGTAACAACATTTAAATTTCTCAAACCCCTTCAGCATTATTCAGTGACAGTCAAGTAAATCACCTAACATTGAAATGGACAGGCCATCTGCAGTCAACTCAATGTATGTCAAAGACCATGGGTGTGGAATCAGAAAAAAACAAAACAAAACAAAACAAACCCGTTCAAATGTCAGATCACCACTTACAGTCTGAGTGTCTCTCTGAGACTTAGATTCTTCATCTTTAAAATTGAGAATTCCACTTCACGATGTTATTATAGACATTAGAAAAATAAAGTAGAGAACTTGTCAACCACAGCCCCTTTCACGTAGAGTATACTTAGGAAACCTTCATCTTCTTTCACTGTATTGT